TTCGAAGATTTGAAAAGTGATTAGCTTTTGTAGCTTCGTCAGCATTTTACCTCAACTAAATCTGATTTTATTAGTGTACTAGATCAAGGGAAAAGATAAAGATTTAACGAGAATCGCAGGACAATTAAAAAGGAACCACAGAAAAAATCTTTAAAAAATAGGAGTTAAACTATATCTTAATGAGATTAAGCAGAACAGAAATTGTTTGCATCGAAAATCCGGAAAAACCATCAACTTGGAGAAATCGAAGAAATGAAACCGATGGAAAGACAATAACTTTCTAACAATTCAAATCATTCATGGAAATCCATTTGGAATTGACCTTCTCAAGCATCAATATTTAAAAGCTAATTGTCGAATAGAGAAAAATGTTAATTTCGTTGACGAACCGAGTTAATTTTGATAGTGATTCACTTTTTTGTCTCTTCCTTGCATTCCATTCTTTTTACTTGTGCTGTTGCTCATTGCCTGTGTAGTTACCATGAACAACTTTCAAGAGTTCATCAATCATGAGAAGAGTTGGAAAGAAGAGGAAAGGCAAAAAAAGGAGAAAATAATTGAAAGTTGAAAATGTCTCTTCGTTTTACAGTCTTAACCAAGTTTTACCAAATGTTCAACTTTTCCAAGTCTCTAGTTTGGTCTGTCAACTTGAAGGTAAAATCAATCTTTCATCTTGATCGTCATCTAAGCCTATTCACTATAATTATATATTTTTTTGTTGCTTTCCATTCATTCCATTGATTTTGTTTCACTTTTAACTGCAAATGAAAATGATACACTTTTTTGTCTCTCAACTTGAACATCTTCATCTTGGCTGATCATCTCTTTTTGCTCATCCATTTCATTGAAAATGAAAAGCCCTTTCAAATGAAACAATGAACAACTCGAGGTATAATTGCGCCCATCAATTCAATTAGAACAAATAAAGAGATGAAAAACAGAGAACCGAGAGAAGAGGGAAAAAAAGAAGTTCAGAACTTTATTCTTGCTCATTTCTACTCGAAAAGATAATTTAATCGAAATCGTGACAAGTTTATTGAAAACAATTGAAACTCTTTGCCTGTATAATTGAACATTGAGTAGAGAGAAAAAATATTCAATGTTTATCATTTAGGAATACAAATTTTAAAGCTCAACCAAGTTGTCAGACACGCAAAGATGAAGCGCACAACTGATGCAAAAGTATTCAGTTTCATTTGTAAACCAACTTTAAAAGTAAACAAGGTTTGATTTTAAATTTGATAAAAACTTCTGTAAAGAGTTTACTTTAACGAAATAACATGATCATGTTTTTGTACCAACAACAAGATCAACATTAATAATTGAAACTTGTTGGTGTCCATTCAAAGTGTTTTTTATTCAATTTAAAATGGCCACTTACTTAGCTTTTAATGAACTAATCTGAGAAATCATTTTTCAATTTGTTTTTAAAAAGGTTCAACTTTTTATCGACTTTAGCTATCGAGTCAATGAGCAATTTTTTTCGATTTTTTGCGATTCTCTTCATGATGGCTGGTTCAGTTTTGAAAATGGAAAATTTTGAGTTTAGTTTTTTCTTGCTTTTAGATTGAATATGGTGAGGAAACTCATGGTTTCAAAGGAAAGAGTAAAAAATGACCAATTTCTGATTGATGGATGTGATGTGAATTTAATGATGGTCTGGGTCAGATTTTCCGATCATGTAAAGTTGACTTCTGTATTCGCTAGAAATTCAGTCTCGAGTTTGTATCCTTTAAGTTACAAACTTGTGACCACTTGTCATGAAATTTTTCCTTCATGTATAAGCTATTAACCTGAGCTTCCTTACTAACCAAAGCAAGTTAGGCTGTCTGACTGGTTAAGATTGAGTCTGTATGGTTATGGAGAGTTTGCAGTTGCTGCATTCAAATCTCATAGTATTATAAAATGCAAAATTTAAAAAATGTCGTTTCTCAATACATTTTTATTCCATACTTCTCATGAAAATAAGTTTAAACAAATGAATTTCCCAACTTGCAACTTTGGATTTTGTTTTGTAAGTCTTTTCAGTAAACTCGCATCTTTGACTAATCATGAACGGAAACATGGAATACAGATATGTCATTCATACTTATTACAGAAAAGATTCTCTGTCAAGGAAAACAATGAGGAACTTGATCAAATCATTGGCGATAAAAGCCACAGCTCCGACTTCGTCTATCGATCTTCGCAAAAAGCATTAATTAACTTAATACTCATATCTTTTTACCAACACGTGTTATAAACATGTAACAAACATCAACCAATCTGAAAAAGTCAGCCCTCTCAGAAATTGACCCGCAAATGTCAGGTCTTTAGAGGTCAAGTAACTGAATGACCTTGAATGTCCTTGAAACTCTGGATTTATGGTTTTACAATTTTGGGAATTCTACTGCTCAAATATAGTCAAAATCTGACTTCTGGTCTCAAGTTGAAGTATAAAAAACCAATATAAACATCTATTTGCTTTAAAAAATCATAAATTATTGTTATGCTCATTAATACCGAAAGTGCTGTGAAAAAAACACATTAGACTAACAATTTTAGCCGTTTAACTCTAATCAGTTTTGTCATGAAACTTTGCATTCGTCAGTATTAGAATGGTAAAGAATCAATTTGAAACTTGTAAAATTGGCAAAAATCAATTTTAAACAAAATGAAAGCGAGAGAAAAAGAAATGAGAAAATTGATTTTTCATTTGAAATCGATCAAAATAAATGTTAAATGGTACAATAAAAAAAGATTAAAAATGCGTATTTTCTGTAATTAGATTTGCATAAAAAATTATCTTTTGTTGCTACAAAAGACCATTATATTGTTTCAATTGTGCTGCAAATTGTTGGCAAAACATGATTGTTGATTACATGAGAGTTGAAGGAAGAAGAAGAAGCAAAACTATCAATAAAATGTTTAAAGTTTAATCCATCTTATTAAGTTTCATTTCATTTTGAAACCATTTCTATACACAATACAATTTTCACTTCAACTTTTCTTCTTCGTCTTCTTCTTCTTCGCTTTTCATCTCAACATCTTTGTTAGTTGCAACTAATATTATCGTACTTTAATCACTGATAATGCAATAAAGGATCAACTTTAATGTGATGAGGGGAGGGAAAGCAGTGAAACAAAACTGAAAACTGTAAACCTTGAAAGTGGGTGAAGATGGTTTAATTTATTTTAAGATCTTTTACAAATGGAAAAGTATCTGATTTTTTTGTTCCTCTTCTTCATTTCAAATGTAAAAAGAGCAAAAACAAAAGTAGAAGAGCAGAGACGCAAAAAGTGGCGAAAAAAAAGTTCATCTCAATTGAAAGATCAAGACTGTCAAGAGTTGGGTGTTTATGTGTTCAACATTTTACTTGATAAAAATTGCATTTAACCAAGTTGAAGCTTATTGTACAATTTAAACTTTATTTAATGTTAATTAGATGAAGTGCAAAGGATGAGTAAAAGGAGAATGTAAATGAAAGAAAGAAAACGATTTATTCCATTTCATTTCATTTCTTCTTTTTTTCTCTTCTTCAGCTTTTCCATTCTCGTCTCATTTTTGCATGATGATCATGATTCGAGCAATAAATGGTAAACAAGAAAGTAAAACAAGAGCCTCAAGAATTCATGGGAATGACTGAAAGACCAACGAAATTGGAACAAAAAAAATTGACAACTTTTTCTCTTCTTTTCAATCATTCATCATTTTTGTCGAAAAACTTTCTTCTTCATGTTTTCATGTTGATGAAAAAAGAAAATTTTGAAACGATTTTTGCATGGAATCGAGTTTTCAATTGGTCAAATGTTTAGGAACAAGATGATGACGAACTGAGAAATTGGGTGAAAATTTTCAACTTTGGGTTCCTTCATGTGAGCCAAAAAAGTCGAGTTGATTATTATTAGACAAAAGCTGAATCTTTAAACTGATCGAGTATAATTGGTTAAACTGTTGGACAGTCGCCAGAAACTGGAAAAGTCTGGTTGCGAATCAAAAGATAAAGGCTTTTATAAATGGATACAGTGTAAGAGTTTCAATGGAAATGGTTTTGTAAATTATGGGTTGAGCTATTTACGATTGAATGTACGATTTGTGCGGCCTTAGTTTTTGGCCTCATTTAACTTGTGTGTAAACTTTATTCAAAACATTGATCCAATAATGAACCATGAAAGTCTTTCAACAAAAATTCACGAAAAGTTTGGGAAATTTTTTTCGCTTTTCATTTTTCTCTACACAAGACAAAAGATGTTTTCAAATGTTATTTACATTCATTGGTTGATGAATTTATTTTGGCGAGTTAATTACACATGATTAGGGTAACAGTAACGCATGTTAACTTATCATTTATGATGGTTATGATGAGGATGAAGATGAAAGTGAGAGCTTAAGAAACTGTCAAAATTTTTGTTCGTTTGTTTGTTGTGTGTTTAAATGGCAATTTAACAAGTGTACAAGTGTATTAGTTTGTTACTTTTAAGTCAACCTTTTGCTTTACTTTTTTTTGGTGAATCAACTTTAAAACATTTCTTGAGAGTAAACAATTGATTCATTGTTTTCCTTTGATTCCTTGGCTTTTGTTTTTTTTGCAAATGCACATGAAACTGTTATTAGTTGTGCTAAAACTTGCAGGGGAGTAATGGAATCATCACGGAATGTTATCATGCTAAAATCATATCAAACATTTGATAATGAGAGTTTATTTAGATTTTAAAAGAAACTTTTTTTTCTCAACTTTTTTTTCTTTTCACCACTTTCCAATTAGCTTGATGATGCTATTATTGCTATTATTGTATCATAATAATTATCCTTGCTTTTCACTTCAACTATTGATTGATGGTTAAACTTTTCATCTTTACTTTATGATGATGGGTTGTCTTTCATTTTGTATTGTTAAAGTTTCCCGAGTCGATGTTTCGACTGAACATTTTTACTGAAGCCCATTGATCATGTTTCATTTGGTGCACAAAAGGCATTTGATTTGGGTTGAGTTGAAGTCTATTGAGAGGCTTCTACTTACTGACATATCCAGTTGTTTGGTGAAGGTGATGATGTTGGTTATTAGGGTTATTAGGGTTGTTGTTGTTGTTGTTGTTGGGGTTCCCTCGGAATGCCGAGTCTGGTGGATAACCTGGACTCATGCTTGATTCGGGTGAAGGAATTGCACCTTTTCTAGGCATCTCGTAGCTATATTGGGCATTGACAGTTTCGTTATTCATGGTCGCTTTCTAATTTCAATCTTTTCTCTCCTTGTATTTGTTTTCCTTCTTTGTAAGTTATTATTGTAAATCAACTTTGTCCATTTTAATCACAATTGTAAAACTGGACACTTTAACCTGGTTTGCACAAAGGTGAAAAAGTTTTCGATTTATGTTGAAAATCTTGATTGATAAACCTTTAAACGGTTTAAATAAAGGTCACATTAATGATTGTTGAATGCTGGGTTGAGCTAGGAACAGAAAGAGTTTACTGTTTACTCTGATGCTACACTTTTCAGTTTACATTACTGACTGATTGATGTTGGTAAACTTTTCAGCTACGAGGCAATATCAGAGTTCAACATGCAATGTTGAGATGAATTCATGGTGACACCTATGATTCGAAATTCGAAATGAGTCGCTATTTTTATTTCAGTCAGAGTTTTGGTTTTAACTTAAGATTGACTTCAACTGCAATTAATTTAAAAACTATCTAAAAGATGATTTGTAAACTTGAAACTTTGTTATTAGTTGATTATCAATCGAAAGCTTATGATGAGCATATTATGCTTGCCTGAAATCAGTGGATGGCAAACGAAGTATCTTTAAAAATATTTTTATTGCCTGTTATTGGTTAATCATACATAGTTATTAAATTACATGTTGTTTTTGGTTAAAAAAATGCTTTCAAATTGCAAATGAGAAGCATAAATACAGAAGCGAATTCCAAGCAGAACTGAAAATTTACAAAAATAATCAACCTTTCAAATTAGAATCAAATAAAAGATTGAAAAGGTTCAACATTTTACTTACGGAAAGAACAAATGTCTTTGATATCTTCAAACCTCCATCGATAGCTATTCCATTGTGTGGACTTAAAACTCGGTCTAAAATTTCAAGAGCCTTGAGAAGAAATGAATTGAACTGAATGATTATTACCTTAATAACATGAATCTAACAATTGTAAATAAAACATTTTCAGATGAAATTCATTGCTTTTTTCATCAATATCATTAAATCTTAAATGTTAGTTAATGTCTTACCTTTAAAGATACAGACAAGTTAAACTTGTTATAGCGACAGGTCATGTGAAGTTGATGGTACAGATTATTCAACTAATAGTCGAGAAAAACTCATAAAATTTATCATCAAGAAAACTAATTTTCAATAGACTCTCATGGACTTTCATAGACTCGAAGTTATATGATGAAAAGTATCTCGGGCTTCGCCCTCGATAGTAAATCATACAACTTCTCGTTGCAGTTAGTTAAATAATACTTACTTGACTTAAAAAAGTAGCGGCAGCATAAGAAAGACAAACGATGACGCAAATTGAAGCTGAACCAAGTAAAATCATGAGCATTCGAAAAGCTGGTGAATAGGATTTGACTATAATAGAAATGAAAAGGAAAAGATTGGTCGTCATCGAAAACATGGTTATACCGATGAAGCCCAAATTTCGAGCTCTTTTGGTTTGGTAGTCGTACTCGTTGAGACAAGAGATGATCAATGATAAAATTTTTGATTGAACTCGTTTATTGTGACTGTTTCTCAAATGTTTAACCCAAAGTTTCATTGATTGAGCTCGATAAAGATCAAAAGTTATATGCAGTGCTAAATAGCCAGCTACAGAGTTGACCGAGCTGGCTAGACCGGCAAAGGTTATTGAAGAAGCTGGAACCCAGAGAAGGCAGCAAATTCGGTAAACATTGTCAGTAAAAAAGTTTGAATTGTTTAAATAAATTAAAACGACACAAACATAACCTGAAAAGGTAGCTACAAGAGTTAAATGATAAGCCAAGATGGATATTAAAGTTACAGTTTTATAAAAGGGTTCAATTAAAGTTGGAAAGAGTTTCAAGTGACATTGTTTCAAATTGTTGTTGATTAAACAATGATAAATGGTGAAATTGTAACGAAAAACATTTCGCCTTTCGATGACTAAAAAATATTCTCGTATAAGAAGGCATGAAATAATGGCAAACAAGACAATCATGAATATCACTGTAAGTGGCTTTTCACTGTGATAGTGTATATTGGCCAGGTAAAGGGAAATGGTTTCATTGGGGAAAAAGATAAACATGAAAACTCGGCCGATTGAAGAGAGAATGGAAAGTCGAATAAGTAAATATATTGGGTCAACTTTAGAGTGGACATGAGTACGGTTCTTTTGATTGCAATATTTAAAGCCATACTTTGATGCTTTTAGTGAAATTGTTAGACTTTCAAATTGTTTCAATGATTTTGAAGCTTCCGTGAAGGGTTCGCTTTTGGAGTAACCGGTAAAGAGTAAAATTTTACTCATCAGTTGATGAAATGCTGCTTTTAACCGAGTCAAATATTTGCACATTTTTGGGCAAATGTTAGTTAACCAGCAAAGATTACTTGAAATTCAAAATGTCACTTCACTTTGGCAAATTAATTTGATTGCTGTTCTATTTCACTTTTTACAGTCACGCAAATCGGGTTGTAAACATTTTCATCATCTTGTGCGCATAATGATGTAGTTTCATCAATTTATAACAATCATTACTTGATATAAAAAGGTAATTTACTCAGCGGACAAGACATTTGCAGAAAAAGTAGGTAAAACTAAAGAAATGAGTTTTAAATACAAACAGTGACAACATTTCTCACAAGTGAACTTTAGAAATTGTAAATCGATAATTGGTTATTAATGACTTTTTCACCGGAAATTTTCCCATTTTTCAAGAAAGTTCATGTGAAGGGAGTATCAAAATGTCCCTAGAAATAGTATTTACCTTACTAATGCAATTATCATATCGTCTGACTGAGATCGATGCAACTGTCTCGTTAATTGTCTACGCGTAAGCTAAAACTATCAAAATTTTACCTTCTTACAAGGTAAAATAAATTACCCAGTCTAGAGCAGAAACTACCGGGTCGACTATCGCATTCTAAGGGTATGGTGCATTGCAGCTAGAAGTTCAGTTGGGATTGGCCCACTTTTGAAATCTAGAAGACTTTTATTAGTTGAGATTGTTGCATTCCGATAGAGCAACCTTAAACCAATCATTTGATTATCATGAATAAGATTGAAATTATATGATTTTCAGATGATAATTGATTTGAAACTTCATTGACAAAACATACTACTGATAAAAAGAAGAAACAGAAAATTTTAAAACCAAAGAATGATGAGTTGGAAGTCTAAAAATTGAAAACGAGTTTCACCTTGAAATGAAAAAATGTCATTTTATCGATTTTTGATGATTGATTAGCATCTTGATACTAATCGATGCAATGTAAAAGACTAGATCATCTGACATTTCATTGTACAGTGGAAGTTTCACTTAAGTTTTACAAATCTCAATAGGCGACGTCTAACGGAAGAAATTTATGGACTGAATTTTGAAACTTTTTCTCGCTACTTGAGAAGTTTATATTTGATCAAAGATGGGCAAAAATCTTTTTTAGTGTAATTTTGATAGTATTTCGTTGAATAATTCCATATTTGAGGGTCGATTTACTTTGGTTAAAAATCGTAAAATTTTAATCTTTACAAATTTGTCAAAAAATTAGCCCAGTATATGGCGACCCTACAAAAATACAACGTGAGCGTGGCCCAGTGGGTTAAAAACTGCGATAATCTTCATATGTTGTAATCTGCATTTCAGGGTTAGCGTTCAAATCTCGCCAAGTCCTGTGTTTGGGGTGAGTGCAGTACAGTCCGCAATTAGTAGTAAAAGGGCGTCTTTCAAGCCATTTCTTTTCCATACGCAAATTAAGCGCGGTGCGAGGGGAGAAGCCCTCTGATAAAGTAACACAAAGATTGACGTTTTATGATTTATTAAAGAAAAAATCAGGTGACGAAGACAATGGCAAATGAAAAAAACGCAAAAGATTTGAAAAGGGGGAAAAAATTATGTTCAAGATTGAGGTCCTCCAAATCATGAAAATAAAACATGTTTATTACCATATTCAGCAAGCGGTCTAAGTTGAAAAAATTGTATCTCTCTTCATATTGCATTGATTGTGAGTGTGTAAATTGTAATTAAAATTAACTAGTAAGTTTCATTGCTGCAAAAATTAAACTGACTTAGTTGCATCATAAGTTGACCAATTACAACATAAAGCTTCTTATATTCAACATCTTATCAATTTCTCATTGTGCGGAAAGTAATTTATTGAAGTGAATATGGATATATGGACATCACCCTGTGTTCCAGTTGACACGGTGAAAGTTCATGTGGTACCCAAAATTTACCTCGTTTGGTCATTTTGAGGACATCCTGTATAGGGTGTTTGAGGAATCTCGATGTAGCCCGCTAAGTGCCTTATACTCCAATGTCTCTCAATGTCAGGAATTCATAAAATTATGTGATTCTCTTGCATCATCTCCGGCATCATCTCCCTCTTCATCATCTTGGTCTCCTCCTTTATCTTCAAAATGGTCCTCTTCCCCTTCTTCATCTTCAGCCTCTACATGGTCCTCTTCCTCAGGTTCGTCTTCCTCTTTATTGTCCTCTTCCGCTACGCTAACTTCTTAATCTTCAGCTTCGTCTTCCTCTTCAGGTTTGTCTTCAGCGTCTTCATTATCATTCATTGATCAGCCGTATTCTTTCATCAACTTAGATGATCAAGGAAAATTAATAATTCCTAAGAATAATGAGGAAGTATTTCAGCATTTTGACTTAATTGTAAAAGATGATGAATTCCCTATCGAAATTCTGCCTGAAATACGGAGGGAGGACGAATGGATCAATGATATGGTTGATATTATTTTGAAAGATCCAACTGACCCGGTAATGATGTATGATGAATTTAAAAAATTTTTAGATAATTTGTTTGATACCCCATATATGCAATAAAGAAATTTGATTTTTAATCAATTTTGCTTATTTAAAAAAACGCGAAAAACCATTGGAAAAATTTTGTTCATTATTTCATTCCTGAAAATGAGCTTTCTGGTACGCAAAGCAAATTATCTCTTTTATACAAAGATGTAATTAAAAGCAAGAGAAAGTCGATAGATAGCTAAAACCTATTTCGATTTGCGTCAATTTTATATTGACCCAAATTATCAAGCAAATACTTTTAACAATGCAAAGGTGATGATGCTAGTTGATCAACAAGTCAATCAAATTGAAACAATGGGTAAATCAATTAAATATTAGTGATCAAGAAAACAGTTGTTGTTGATTTATGTCAACACTGTATTGTTAATAATATGTTTTCTTTTTGCAATTTCCTTGCAATTTGCACTCCTTGCTTTCTCAACTCTTCATCTGGTTAACTGCATCCTCTTTTGATTTCTGTCGGTTTGGTTTTTTTTGA